ACCTGGACTGGTGGAAAATGGTGGTAAAAAAGTGCCCAGCTCTCGCATCAAGCTGACAATTACAGAGTGCTGTGTACATTCTGCGTGGCTCAAGGCCGCACTGCCACTGCGATGACTAATTTGAGAACAATCTTGTATTGACTTTCCTTCTTTTGCATTCCCCAGGCATCCACTGCTGTTTCCCGCGATCACTGTCCAAAGTCAACTACCTAAAAAGTAAGCCCTTGTTGTCAGGTTCAGTTTCCAAGGGGCAAGCCAGGCAAAGACACCATTAAACATAATTCATACAGGAAAGGCAGGATAAGTGCTCAATTCTTCAGTTACAGTGAAAATATTCAGAGTTTTGCTTAGCTACAACTAATCACAAACTCCTAGGTTCATATGGAACCAGTGCATTTCAGTCTGTTGTAGTTCTGTTTTTTAAATCTCATATTGTTCCCTTTTTAGTCAGGAGCTTTTGATGCTGACCCCTCTGTACCTTTGAACTGTCCCACTTGACTTGAGACTTTGAATAGAATATTCTTGGTGTCTAGCCCGGGATGTGCTGAAATCTGCCGTTCCTCCAAAGAGCTTCATACCTTTTCATAGAAAATGATGTATTAAAAGTAAGTGATACTAAAATTGCTTATTACTATAATACTTCCATTATTTCTAAGATTTTTCAAGGGACACTGAAAGCAAATACTTCTTCTTTGCAATAAATATGAAACTATCAAGACATAAAAAATTGTTTTTGAAAAAAATATTATCAGCTCACAATATTTTGAATTCAACTTTCATATTATATGGATGAAAATTATTGCTCCTCATAACCCTAATATTTGTTTTTACCTATAACACACAGGAAGGGTTTAAAAGTAGAGTAATAGTATCTATAGTTCTACTAGCAATAAGACTCTTGAGTGAAGTTTAAGATCTTTGTAAAACTATTTATCTTAAGAATATATTTTACGGGGGCTGGGGATTTAGCTCAGCGGCATAAGCGCCTGCCTTGCAAGCAGGCAGTTGTGAGTTCGATCCCCGGTACCGATAAAAAGGAAAAAGACAAAAAAAAATATGTATATATTTTACTACAAATGAATAGTGAACACAGTATTTTATTGTCATTTAATTACTTACTTGATGTAATTGTGCTATCAACTTAATATATGGTTAGACTCTTTGGTTCAATTTATTTTCAGATTCTAAGAATGGCATTTGTTGGGCTGGGGATTTAGCTCAGCGGCATAAGTGCCTGGCTGGCAAGCATGAGGTCATGAGTTCAATCCCAGGTACCGATTTTAAAAAATGACATATGGGGGCTGGGGATTTAGCTCAGTGGCATAAGCACCTGCTTTGCAAGCAGGCAGTCGTGAGTTTGATCCCTGGTACTGATAAAAAGGAAAAAGACAAAAAAAAAATGACATTTAGATTTAAAATTGTTTTGAGTATGCAATATATATATATATATATATATATATGTATATATAATCGTGTGTATATGCATGATTCTATAGTCTGTGTTAATTCAGAATAGTCTAGCTTACATGTTAATCTCCTTTATGTGTTTTTTCCTGACCCAAACATAGGCAAATATATATATTCATAGTTCACCTCTCTTAGAAAAACCTATGCATAAGTCATCTTGTATTTTGGAATAACTTCCTAGAATTGGGATTTTTGTGTCAAAAAGAAAATGCATGTCTAATTTCACTAATGATTATCCGATCTAAATTCACTAATGATTATCCGATCAACCTCATGTGTAGGTTCTGTGTAGCACTGTGCATTCTCGGTGGCATGATGCACCACCCCTGTTCCCCACAGTGTGCCAACCAAACAGGTGGTCAAACATTTGGAGTTTTGCTAATCTGATTACTTCTTTCCTTTCCTTTCCTTTTCTTTTTTATTTAGAGAAAAAAAGCAAACCAGAAAAAAGGGTAGAAATAATACAGAATTTTTAAAAAAACACTAAGAAATCACTAGTTGATAAATTACATATTCTCATTTTAGAAATTGTTGTTCAAGTTACAAAATCAGAGCATAGAAAGTGAAAAATCAGTGACAATGAAAACATGCTGTTCAATGATCCAACAAAAACTTAGTAGTATGGTTATCTGTCTTATACACTGAAACATACATGCTATATCCTTCAGAGCGCTTTCCTTCCCTTTCATTATTACAATATCTATTGTACATTTTGATCTTATTACTCCTTCAGTTTTTATTATTTTTACATTAGAGAGACAATGTGATATTTACAAATAAGAGTCTTTTTTCACTTATGAGAATAGTCTCAAGTTGCCTCCATTTACCTATAAAAACCTCAAGATCATCCTTTTTATAGCTGAGTAATATTCCATTATCATTCTGCTCCACGGCAGAGTAAGATGATTTCATCTGCTTTTGGAAGAACTCTCTCAGGATAAACAATAAGTGATTGTGTTGACAGGAGTGGGAAGAGAGGGGCTGAAACATTTCTATTTCCATTCTCCTAAACGTGGAATTGCCAAAGTCCACAGCATCACTGTCCTAGGTAAGACCTTGCGTTTCCAAAGGTTGGCTTGAGTTTCCAGCCAAATATATAAGGACATCAAATATGACCTTTCCAAGACCAGTAGACTACAAAGAGGTAAGAAAGCACAACTCCTTTACTGAGAAAAGAGGCTGAGAAAGGTGGAGGAGGAATCTTAACCTTTTCTTGTTACCTGGTCTCTGGAGCAACCCCAGGATTAAGTCCCTGTGAATGCCCGGAGGTTTCTACAGATTGTACAATGACTTAAAATTCAAGAGGGCGTCTAACATTTAGGACCTCTTTTGCTGCTTTGTAGGAGTAATGTCATGCATGGACACTGTTTTTTCTCTCAGCATTTCTCATAGGCCAGTGGGCTGCCCCTGGCCCCAGACAAAGTGATGAGCCATATCTGGCTGTCATATTTAGAAGGATCTAGTAGGTAGGCGAGATGCTGCTAAACAGTTTACAGTAATTATGAAGTCTCCCCTGTACTTCCAACAAATAATCTGGTCCAAAATGTCAGTAACTCCAAGGTTCAAAACCATGCTGTATTCCTGCTTTAGACACACAGTCACTTATGTCCTTAAAATAACTATTATCCATGGTAGGGGAAGGGAAGAATCACAGATACTATCCTTTCTTGTGCCACCATAAGTCATTAGCAATTTGGAACCTCGCTGATCATGAAGATAAAAGGAATCACATATTTATCTGAAGGATTAAAGAGCAAATTCCATTTTAACCTTCTAAAAACTGATTATCATTAAGTATAATGCAACCTTTTAAATCCAAGTATAAGGAAAGTGCAGATTATTTAAGGTAAATGGGACCAAAAGTCCTATGAATAATCAAAAACTTGGTTAATAGAGTATGACCAGAGAATAATGCATTTGGCTTCTGCGGAGAAATTAAACTACATGCTGTGAATTGGTATTAAAGAAATTGCATGAAGGTTACTCTTAAGGTGCCATGAATCTGAAGAGACAGCCTCCGGTGCCCAGTATATCACATTCAACCTTAATCAATCTTTGGCTTTTCATGGCTTATTTCCCCTTGGATAACCCAGAAGCTCAGGGCTTGGAGCTTTTTGGAATGGTAAAATATCTCGTGTTTCGTACTTATTTTCATCTAGGAACAGAGTTGAATTTTATTGCCAGCTTATCTCTTTCACAAGCGTTATTTTCAAACTTCGGTTTACTTATTTTGAGGACAGAGAATGTTCTTTAATATCTTTAAGCATAATTTACCTAAAATAAAATGTATCCTAAACAATTATATTAAATTTTGGTGAATAAGATGGAATTTTAACCGCAAGAGAAATTCGTCAAAGGGATTCTGAGGCTAAACCTTTTGCAGAGAGATGCATCTTGTTTGCAGACATATCAGGCTGTTATAGTTTAAAAGGGGAGTATTTCTGGCATGAAGCAGGTTCAGGTCAGCCATGTAAGAGCACATTTTCTTTTTTTTTGGCTTTTTCCTTTTTACCGGTACCGGGGATGAAGTCACGACTGCCTGCTTGCCAAGGCAGGCGCTTATGCCGCTGAGCTAAATCCCCAGCCCAAGAGCACATTTTCTAAAAAGTGAATTTCTAGTTAATTTGCCCTTTTTCTAAATCTTGCATGTTGCCCAGCTGGATGCCCAAACCCTAGACTCAAGAACCCCTCTGTCCTCACCGTCCCAAGCACCTGGGAGCATAGATGCGAGGTCACAATTTTTATAGGTAACCAAATGTCTAGTCTAATATTACGTATAATAAGAATTTTAAAAACCAACCATGAATTTGAATTTTGAAATCTGGAGTTTTAGAAGCTATTTGTACTGACTTGGCAATATATCTTTGTTATCAACAAGGATTTATTAACACTTGTTTTGCATGGTAAGGAAAGGGGCCCAAGATGCTAGACATACCTGAAGCGAATAGGTAGCATTACTGAAATAATCACATTGCCTGCCTTCCCGTAGTAGTAAAGAGAACAGATAGTAGCCTACTACTAGATTCGTAGTGCAATGTTGTGGTTCAAAAACCAGGCTAGGTTCTCACCTTTGCCTATTGTGGTCAATCGGCAATTTACACAAACGGGCTGTTCCTCAGTCTCCTCATTCAAACGGGGAATAATACTAGTATCTGTTCAATACGGTTGTTCCGAGGGTTAAACGAGCTAATATGTGAAAAAGCACTGGGGCCAGTGATTCAGTCTGCAATCCCGGGTGGTAAGTGGAGCCCCAAGAACAGGACAAGAGAAAAATGAGAGGTGAGGCTCCGGGGGTGGACACGTTTCATCCGATCTTTTGCCCTGCGAAGGGCACGCCGCCGGTTCGCGGCCCGCCTCTCCCCACGGCCTAACCTGTCACGCCGGGGCTGGGGGAGACCGAGCCGCGGCACTCACCCCACCCTCGCCTTCCGGAGCCCGCCCACAAAGCTCCGCCCCTTGGGGAGGTCTCGGATCGCCGTAAAGTAAGGAGCGCGCTTTGCCTTCCGACGTAGAGCCCGCCTCCTTCTTTACGGCAAGCCGCATTCCACGCCGCCAATATGGCGTCCCCCGTATAGAAGGTGGCCGTGGTTTCTATCGCAGGTGGTCAGGGGCAGAGGTGAGCGCGGGTTACTGTCCGTTCAGCTCGGGCTGCAGTTAACAGCAGTTAAAGTTCGTCTTGGATTACGGTTCATACAAGCCACCGTCCTCTGAGGGATAGGAACTGCCACTTCCATTTAGTTCCTGCAAGTTTCTTCTTGGCCCCTGATTTCTTTCCGGAGTCACCTCCGGATACCCCAGGACCCTGACCCTCCCAGACTCAGACTATGAGCCTTCGGCAGCTGCTGATACCCTTGCCCTGTTATCTGGGGCCCTTGGGCCTCCTACGTCGCCCGTTGTGGTTCCCGTCTACTGTGGGGTCCTGGCGTGCTCAGTCCTCCAGGTCCCAGAGTCACTGGAACCAGGTGGTGTCAGAGGCGGAGAAGATCGTGGGTTATCCCACATCCTTCATGAGCCTCCGCTGCCTGCTGAGCGACGAGCTCAGCAACATCGCTATGCAGGTGCGGAAGCTGGTGGGGACTCAACACCCTCTGCTTACCACTGCCAGGTGAGCGACCTCGTCTCCCTCCTACTCATCCGATGCACTAAAATCCTTCTTCCTGGCTAGGACCCCCCCCCCCCTTCGCTCAGACTAGCTCCCCGCCAGTCTTTTATTTCTTTTTTTTTCTCTCCGTCCTTCTACACATTGCTTTTCTGCTTTTTGGTTCACATACTCTTCATATACATGCTCAGCTGAGTGGATAAATGGTTTCCTTACAAGGAGTACTTTTATGCTTTTCGAGATTTTTTTGCTTAACTGTTGAAAGTGAAGATGCTTCAGTGATTTATGGAGAAATGGAGCAGGGATATAGGTTTATTAAGTCACTTGATAGACACGGCCTTTGAAAGCGAGATATATTAATTTTCAGTTTTGCACTATTCAAGGAGTCCTCTCCAGAAAGAGTAGAGGGAGAAATGGGGTGAAATGGTTCTTGCCAACGAATGTTCATGCTTGAAGTGGGAATTCATCCAGGTGGTAGTCATTGTCCTCTTGAAATTTTTATCACTTATGCTGGACTACTGCTATGAAATGTGTCATCAGTATTATAAACCTCTTTTCCACTTAAAAAAAAAGACAAACCCTGCACCTTTTGACTTATAATCAATTTCAAACATGCACAAAAGTTACAAGAATAAAAATAGCACAGAGAACGTACTTATATACCCTTAAATCAGATTCACACATACATTTTATGTCGATGTGTGTGTGTGTGTGTGTGTGTGTATATGTTTTGCTATATCACTTGGTAGATTGTATACATCCTTTACCTAGATATTTAAGTATGTATTTTCTAAGTATAGAGATACTTCCTTACACAAGAAAGTGCAGTTATCAACTCAGGTTTATCTTTAATATTGATACAATACTTTACATGTCCATTTAGCAATCTTTACCATGCAGTGTAGAATCCAGACTAGAATCAGATATTGCATTTGTTATCTCTAGATGCCTTCATTAGGATACTTCTGTGACTCTCCTTGGTCTTTAGGACTGGAGCGTTTCTCGACTTAGGCAACGTTGCCCTCTAGGAATGGTGGAGTAATTGTGCAATGTGTGGAGGTGTTTGTGCTTATCACAAGTTAGAGATCTGTGGCCTGGGGTGCTGCCTTACAGTTGGCAGAGCAGCCTTACAAGAAAAGTTTTGTTTGAGAATGTCAGTAGTGCCAATGTGGAGAAATACAGGACAAAAGCCATCTTTTTTCCTCCTATTTTTCAGTCAATTTAATTAATTAATTTATTTTGGGGTTTTTTGTTTTGTTTTGTTTTTTGTCTTTTTCGTTTTTATCGGTACCAGGGATCGAACTCACGACTGCCTGCTTGCAAGGCAGGCGCTTATGCCGCTGAGCTAAATCCCCAGCCCCTATTTTGGGATTTTTTTTGAGACAGGGTCTCACTGTGCAGTTCAGGCTGGCTTTGAACTCATCGTGTATCCCAGGCTGGCCTCGATTTTGCAGCAGTCCTGCTGCCTCTGCCTCCCAAGTACAGGGATTACAGGCATATGTCATGATGTTAACTGTTTCTTTTAGGTGACAATACTAAATTGTTTTCCAAAGCGATTAAATATATACATAATGAACTACTTTAACAAGCATTGTCTTGAGTTAGGGTGAGTCCATGTTTTCAGGACACTAGAACCGTGAGATTTCTTCTTAGATTCTTCTAAACCCATATGAAAACATTTGGGGAGGGGATCTAGGATATATATACAGTTCTACATCTGTTTTAGCAAAGGAGCAGGCATTTGATCGATAGATTCAGGTAACAGCTGTTATAAATTAGGGATAAAAACATAGGTGAAGCAGCCATATTGTTTTACATACTGTGCATGATAATTCCAAGTTTTGTCAGCAAAGATACTCTCAGCATGGTATCCAAAGCATAAAGACCCCTGTTAGAACCTTAGGAAATTATAGTTGGGCAGTTCTTTTACAATCATAAAATGATCCATTTTATATTCTGAATTCTTGTTATTTGCTTAAATCAGAATTTTAATGCCTTAGATGGTTTGCTTTTTGAGTAAATCTATACTGTATGTTTAGGATGAATAATGCTTAATATCCTTAAAATTTAAATAAATTTGTTATACTTTTGACAAATAGGAGAAGAAAAAAACATTGGCATGATTCATTATTCATTATTTTCTTTAACTTACCCTGTTAGAAAAGGGGAAAAACAGTCTAGAAATATACTCTTTAATTCAACAGAAGTCAGGGTAGGGCTGGGGATGTAAGCTCAATGGTAGAATACTTGTCTAGGGTGAACAGGGTCCTGGGTTCAGTTCTTGTCGAGAAAAAAAAAGTAAACTAAAAATCTTGAAATTTAGTGAGCTGATGATTCTATTACTGGTAACAATGGAGCAATTAGTTCATTTTTTTACCCTTGTTTTTATAGATTTTCTACTACCTCATGTTCTAATTCTCAATTAATTGATTCAATGTTTAAAAAATCTATAAAGTCCAAAACATGGACCTGTCTCTTAAGGTGTGGACAATTCTTTTTTTTTTTTTTTTTTTTTTGTCTTTGTCTTTTTCGTTTTTATCGGTACCAGGGATCGAACTCACCACTGCCTGCTTGCAAGGCAGGTGCTTATGCCGCTGAGCTAAATCCCCAGCCCCCCTCCCCAATTGATTTTTAACAAAGAGCAAAAGCAGTTCTGTGGAAGGGGGATCATTTCAACAAATAATAATAGAACAGTTGAATTTCATAGGCAAAAAAAAAAAAAAAGGCCTGGATCTAAAACTCACCTCATAGCCAGGTGTGTTGTGCATGTCTGTAATCCCAGCACTGGGAAGGCTGAGCCAGGAAGATTGCTACAAGTTTAAGGCCCAGCCAGAGCTGCAAAGTGAGTTCACGTTCAGCCTGAAATGAATAGTGAAACCCTGTATCAAAAAGAACAAAACAAAATGGAAAGAAAGAAATCTCACACCACATATTTTTAAATTAGTCATTGTAAAATCATGGAATTGATTTAGATAGGATACACAAAACCATAGAACTTAAGGAAAATACAGGTGAGCATCTTCAGAATCTCAGGCTAGGTAAATAGGTCTCAGACTTGCCAGCAAAAACTTAATTGATAGAATAAAATAATAATTGTACTCCATCAAAATCGAAAGCTTTGTAGAGAGCTTTGTAGACCGTGAGAGAATATTTTCAAGTCACATATCTGAAGAATTTATATCCATCTAAGCGCCGGAGTAAGAAGATGGGTGACCAGTGAGCTTCTGAAAAGCTGTGCAGCATTTCTAGCCACGAGGGCAGTGCAGAGCCACCTTGAGGTGCCTGTTAGAGTGCTGAAGTCCAAGTGAAGATACAGAAAAACTAGATTTCTCCTAATTGCCTTTAGGAGTAGAAATGATACAGATGCTCTGGACAGCAGCTTAGCCGTTTCTTTTAAAATGAAAGATACACTTGCTTTACAGCCCAGGAATCATACTCTCATGCATTTAAGGAAATAAAAAGCTTTTGTCTATATCACAACCCATAAGGAACATTTCCAGCAGTCTTATTTGTAACAGCCCCAAACTGACCAACTCAAGTGTCATTCGTGGGTAAACAGTTAAATAAACTTGTACATGCACAACAATAAAATACTGCTGGACAGTTACAAAGAAATAAACTGTTTGTATATGGAAGTTGGATGAGTCTCAAAGGAGTTATAGTAATTGGAAAAAGTTAATTTTGTTCCTTCATAAGTGGAAAATGGAATTTTGCTACGTGATCTGGCAGTTCCCCTGGAGCATGTATCTGAAAGGCTGAGACAGAGTGTGCCCAAGTACCTAGCAGCTGGACTCACAGTAGCCCAAAGGTGGAAGCAACCCAGGTGTGCATCAGTGTGTTTCTCTTTCTCCTTTTCTTTTTTTTTTGAGACAGAGTCTCATGTAGTGTAACCTGGCCTTGGACTTGCTCATGTAGCCCTGGCTGGTGATCCTCACGGATATCCTCCCGCCTCAGCCTCCTGGGTACTGAAATTACAGGTGTGCACCACCACACCTGGCTATAGTGTACATTAAATGGAATATTCAGCCCTGAGAAGGGAAGAGATTCTGGCACATAGTATAGTGTGGGGACAGGTTATACACTGAGGACATCAGTGAATAAGCCACTTAGAAAAAAGACAAATAACTGTGTGGTTCCACTTAGGTGAATATCCAGGGTAGGCGTATTCAGAGAAACAGCATGTAGAAATGCAAAGGAATTGAGAGGAGGAGGAAATGAGGACTCGTTTAATGGGTCTACAATTACAATTTTGCAAGATAAAGTTTTGGTGATGAGTTGCTTAGTGATGTGGTTGTAGTTAACACTATGCACTTAACACTGTTCACCTGAAAATGGTTAAGATGGTAAGTTTAATGCGTGTATATTTTACCACGACTTTTAAAAAAGTCTCAAGTCATTTTTAAAATGTCAAACTATAGAGGGGGTTTCTAGAGGCAGGGACAGTGTAGGGGGTGGGAGGAGTGTAAATACAAAGAGGTGTACTGTGGTTTGCAGCAGTTAGAGGTCTTGATTGGGATGGTGCTCACCAGAAGCTGGACCAGAGCGAAAGTTGCCTGGAACGGTACACACTTACATGCGAGCACAGATTGGGGAATGCTGAGAATGAGGTAAGGCCCACACTTTAGTCCATACTAGTGTACTGACATCAGATTTTTGGCACCAATGAGTGAAGCTCGAGTATGTAGGACTCTAGAACATTTTTGTAACTTGCTGTTTGTACTTACGTCATTATTTCCAAAAGCCCAGAAGAATTAAATCCTGTAAAATTGAGGGAGAGCGGTAGGGCCAGATGTCCTGAGGCCTGTGTTCTAGTTTTGGCTAGGTGATTTCCTTGTATTGCCCGGTCTAGTCTTACCTAACAATCAGTGTGCTGAGCACGGCGGCGGTGAGAAAGCCCTTGGCAGTCCCCTGGGGGACAGTGACAGCGTGGCTGCATGTGGAAATGCAAGTCTGTGTCCCACAACTCAGTTCTTTTCTACAATTTTAGTCCTAAAAACTTAGAAAAC